CAACCCCCAATCATACACACTAGCACTACCAACTCCCAATCATACACACTAGCACTACCAACCCCCAATTATACATACTGTCACTAATGACCCCCAAAATACACAATGTAACTACGTAGTAATACTTAATATTTCATACTTCTGAACGGTATTAGGGTCTCAGAAATGTCCCAACATTAATAGTCATTCAGTTAAGATAATTACTAAAATAACAATATTTGTATATTTTTTCAGTCTTCCAGACAGCAATGTAACTCTAGTGGAAGATCTGCCTCGTCGCAAACGTAGAACTTTGAGTCCTAAAGCACCGCGATTGACGACTGCTCCTAAACGGAAATTCAAAACCGTCAATACAATCAGCAAACCTCACAAGATACTCCAACTTCTGAAACACAAACTGCCACAAACCGCTCAAATCACAGAACTTGATCAGAACGATGATATCAAATCGGAAGCTGAACCACCAGAAGCCTTCCCTCTAGACAAGGAAGATAATATCAGCGATACAGAAACTATAGTGGGTGAAAAGGATGGAGATATGTGCAAAGATATGAAGGAATGTCTAGCGAAATTCGCCAATTTCGCTCTAAACCAAGACAAAGAGGTTAAATACCCAGAATCAGTTAGTCCACCTTTACAAGAGATGTCCCCAACTTCAACGGAACCGATGCCAGTGTATTCTCCAAAACCGAACCAAAGGCTTCTAGCTGTTAATAAATTTCTTCATAAAAATGAAGATAATGACAAAATAATAGATTTCCAATCGCAGATAACAACAGATGTGCTAAATGTGCCATTGAACGCACGACGAACTCCGTTACTGGTCAAAGATGAAACTGAAACTATAATAGTAACAGAAGTTGATAATCCCGAGCTGGTCGTCGAAAATAAAGATAGTAATGTCTACAAATATGTGACATTCGGTTTAGAAATCAAAAAAGCTATGGAAGAATGTCAGAATATCATCAACTCTTATAATAGCATCAAAGAGAAAGGCAAAGATATAGAAGTAAAAGAGAAAGAAGATGCCACAGACGGACCTCTCTCTTTAGATCACATCTGCGAAGTAATGATGAGTTTAGATAAAAGCGCTGAATTACTAGATAAGATAGATTCAGATGAATCTGTAGATCTAGGCGCTGCGAATACTAAATTGGCCGAATTGGTTGAAAATATGCCACAAATATTAGCTAATATGCCAGAAATTGCATCAAAATTATCAGAATTCGCCAACACTTCGTTCGAATTGCCAGAATTCGCTTCAATAATGAGCAGTATACCGGAAGTTAATAATGAAGCCCAACTAACACCGGAAACATTGAAACAAATCCGAGATATAAAGCGGAATAAAACTAGAGATAGTGTTAAAGTCACAAAGAATACAGCGAAGCGCAAAAACAATCGTAGGATTAAGAATAATGTGGATAATGACGTAACGGATAACCCAGAAGCCGGGAAAGAAGTGGCAGAAGTGAAAGAAGACAATGAGAAAAATAAAAATTGCAAAGAAGATTTTAAAGAATTATTGTTCTCGATATCAGCTCAAGTTGTGATCAATAAAGTATTCGAATATATGAAACAGACGAAGAATCCGGAATTTCTTAAATGCCTGGAAGAAGATCGTGAATTATTAGGAAAGAATATGTTAATACCGGAAATGTATACGAAAGATTCTACCGTTTTCGATAATTCAGTTAAAGAAGCTCTAAGTATGGAAGAATTACGACAATTGGTTCGATCTAGATTCAAATCATGGAAGCAATATATTGCAACGAAATTCAAAAGCATACCAATCGAGTTACTTGAAAACGAAATAGAAACGATGCTATCGAAATTCCAATCGTATATAAAAGATTTGGCAGCGAAACAGAGCGTCAACGATACTGATAAAATAAGCGAAAAGATCGAAGAAATGCGAAAAACCGTAGAAGGAGAAAACGAATTGGATAACGAAAGTTGTGCCGCATCAAAGGAATCTCTTAAACAAATCACGAAATTACTTAGCCCTCAAGCTGGGAATACATTCGATTTACTTATAATGAAATTATCCAAAATGACTGAAGATCAAAAAACAACAGTCAAAAGTCTCAAATTCAAATACATAGATGTTGTCCGAAGATGTATTGAGTCCCAACAATTAATCAACTGGATACTACAAGATCCCGAAACAGCTATAGAAGTGATAACCGAACATACAGGAGTACCAACAAAGAGACCAGAAACAACACAAGATTTCACAACAATGAGTTTAGATAACAAAAAGGATTATTTCACAGAACGATTAAAGAAAATGAACAAATCCTTTATGCAAACATTACCAAAAAAAGCACTAACAGGCGACGAATGGCTTGTAATGTTGTACCGTCTAGAACAACTTGAAGCATCGTTAGATGATACATTCTCGAAAATTCCACCACCTACAAAACAGAATCCACAAAATCAAACCGCTAGCGAAGCTGAAATATTAGCAGCTAAAGGTTTAAGTAAAATTATAAACAAAGCAAACGCTAAAACGACTAAAAAACCAAACGCTGAAACACAAAAGACAATAAAAAAAGAAGATAAACATCAAGAAGTTAAAGAAACTGCAAACGAAAATGAAAAAGATGAAAGAAAAATCAAAAATGATATCCTATTAGCTAAATGCGAAGCTATCCTCACATCGAAAGGCGAAAAGACTCTCCTAGACAGTTTTTATACCATCAAATCGTTTATCACACAAGGTTTACCTGTACCGGAAACATACAAAAAGCATGTTATATCTATATGTTCAAGTATAGATGCTAAATTATTGGACGAAGAAATCGAAGAGAGTTTGAAAACGAAAGCAGAAGACGACGATAAAGAGAAAACTCCATCATCAGGCATTGGATCTCAAAATCCTGAATTGTTAGCAAAATATTCAGCACAAGCGCTAAGGAATGCTAAGCAGACGTTAAATGCGGTCGCATTTAGAAATATGATGAGGAACGGACAGACGAAGTCGGAAAGCGACGCTTGTGATACTCCAAAATCTGACTGCAAGTGGACCAACGACTGCATATGTCCTAATTGTAAGGAATCCGACATGACTTCCGTATGCCTTGGGGATATTGTCAAGCAATGCTATGATATAGAAACCAAATCGAAGAACGGTTTAGAAGAGAAGAAGAAGGATAAGAAACCGGTTGCTAAAAATAAACCTCCACCTAAAGTGTGTGAGAATGCGTCCCATCAACAACATGTGTGCAAAGGTTAGTTTAACTCGATAATTGGTTATATTTCTAGTAATCATAATATTATAAATGCGAAAGTTTAGATGGATGTTTGTTAGAGTTTGTAGCCTAAACTGCTGAACGGATTTCGATGAAATTTGGTACAGATGTAGAACAAAGTCTGGAAGAACACATAGAGTACTTGTTTTTGTTTTTTTCAATCCCATGAGGACGGAGTCACGGGCGAAAGCTAGTCATACTAATGTTTTAAATGCGATAAGATACTCTGTTAAGGTAATACTAATCGCCCCCACTAAGAATGTAACTTTTTCTCAATTTTTTTTTGCATAATCACATTTTTTAAGCAATAAAAAGTTTTTTTTTTAATTCAGTAGGTCATAACGCGGGGAATGCGTGTGCGGGCGACAACTCCCCCGACCAGCCTTGCTCTTGTTGCTACTGTACCGTGTTCGGACACGCCGTGAGTATAAACATTAAAAAGTACAATCGGGTAATTTGTCGGTGTTAAATCATTTGAATGTTGTGTGCATTGAACGATAACCAATAGTTTTTAACCAATAAATGTATAATGATTCATATATACAGATAGTTCCTTACACAATAGATTATTTAAAAATTATTTTTTTTCTTTTTTTTATATTATAAGGTGGCAAACGAGCAAGCGGCCACCTGAATCCGCCAAAATGGAAAGGGACCGCTGCACATAAACATCCGCAATTGCAGATGCGTTGCCTACTCTTAATTGATGGAGGAGGGCACATAAAGAGGACATTTCTCCTTCCTATGCTCCACCGTCAAATCCACTTTTCCTTCCCATCATTTCCTCTTAAGAAAATGGTGGAAAGGGAAAGATACTAAAATTAGGCCTCCTCTTTATTTTTCCATTAATCTATGTTTATTTTGCTACCCGTTTTAATTTATGGTATTTAAAAAAAAAAAACCATGCATTGGTTAAAACTTTATGAAAATATGGCCTGTACACACAAAATTGTTTCTGCAAGTCACTATTATCTAATTGTTTATTTGTAAAGCGGAATTTGTCTCGTTACAACAAAGCAAGTAATTATTCTGTAAATGTAATACCGAGTAATTCCCTGATTGTACATTACATTTGAAGGCACATGAATGACTTGAAGCTTTGTATGGATATTGACATGTATAATCCATACAATAAATGGGGGGGATAATGCAACATATTTTGTCTTCCAAATTTGCATTGTAACTTAATGGCTAGTCTATACTTAATATTATAAAGAGGAAAGATTTGAATTTTTGTATGTATTGAAATAACTCAAAAACTACTGGGACAATTTTAAAAATTCTCCCACCGTTAGAAAGGTAATCTGTGAGTAACATAGGCTATATTTTTTTTAATATCAAGCAGACTAAGTCTTAAGCAACAGCTTCAAATAAAGATAATATAATGTTTCAGTTACTTAACAATTCCAAGTACTTTTAATATTATTACAATTTTAAAATTAAAGAGGGGTAGTTTCCTACTTATAATTTAACTTTAATTCCACCCTTTTTAAATTTTCAGCCCCCACTGACTACTCCGGTGCCGAGAAACTTCAACGAAACAAGGGAACGTTTGAGATCTATACTAAATAAGAAGAAACAGAAATGCAAAGCCAATGTAAGTATAGTTTATGTTACTCTATACATAGCATTTTAATGGTAAAAGAATTTTCAAAATCGGCCCAGCAGTTTTTGAGTTACTTTAATCCATACAAAAATCCAAATCTTTCCTCTTTTTAATATTAGTATAGACGACTTCGCATGCGTAAAATTATTTTTTTTACTAAAACATAATCTATGTAACTGAAAACATAGCTTTTTAATGGTAAAAGAATTTTTAAAATCGATCCAGTAGTTTTTGAGTTATTTCAATACATACAAAATCCAAAAATACAAATCTTTCCTCTTTATTATAGTATAGATAAACACTACTTATTTGTCAGGGCGAGGTGACAGAACCGGTGGTAGAGAAGAAGCAAGTGACAGTGCAAACTCAGACCCCGGAGTCGCCGCAGCCTCAGAAGCCTCCAAAGCCAGTCACACCGCAACCGAAACCTCCGGTGAGTAACCTATTGCTTGTAAAAAGCAACCAGAAACAACGCGAAGAAATTAGTGACAACAAGACAAGACGCGAAGCAACTAGGGACAACAAGAAACGACGCGAAGCAATTAGGAACAACAAGAAACAACGCGAAGCAACCAGAAACAACTAGAAATGACGCGAAGCAACAACGAAAATTAAATCAGATACAAAACAATCACCTTTTTGCTGATATATTAATTTATATAATTAAACTAGTTTATGCCCGCGACTCTGTCCGTGTGGAATTAAAAAAATTAACAGTAAATAGGCTATGTGTCCTTCCAGACCATGTTCTACATGTAAGATAAATTTTATGGACATGCGTTAAGTATTAGTAAATATACATAGTAACATCCATCCATCTAAACTTTCCCATTTATATATCAACGAAAGCCCTTTGAAGTAATGTAGTAATGTATTTTTCCAGGCTTTACCAAAAACATTACCACCGACTACTACGTCGGCTCCTCTGCAAGGGGTTCAAGGACCTCCAGCAACGCAGGGGGTCCCTGCTCAGGGGGTGCAAGTTGCTCAGGGGATCCCTGCTAGGGGAGTGCAAGTTGCTCAGGGGGTCCCTGCTCGGGGGGTGCAAGTTGCTCAGGGGGTCCCTGCTCGGGGGGTGCAAGCTGCTCAAGGGACCCAACCTGCTCAAGCGGTCCAAGCTGCCCAGAGTGTGCAGGTGGCTCAGGGTGTGCAGGGCGCCCAGGGGTTGCAGAAGGCCCAGGGGACGCAGGTGTCCCAGGGTGTGCAGGTGTCCCAGGGCGTGCAGGTGTCCCAAGGTGTGCAGGTGGTCCAGGGTGTGCAGGTGTCCCAGGGGATGCAGGTGGTCCAGGGTGTGCTGGGGGTGCCCGGCAAGCGGCAGGTGGAAGGCCAGCTCGTAGACAAGATGGCCATGATGTTTGTGTCCGAGAAGACTGACAAGCCAAAGGTATATTGACAGTTTTGACATGGATATGGGACATAATTAAAGATTACTAGCTGTTGCTCGCGACTTCGTCTGCGTGAAATTAATAAATGTAGCCTACTAGCTTTTGCCAGCGACTCCGTCCGCGTGAAATTAAAAACAAAACAGAGTAGTCTATGTGTTCTTCCAGATTATCCTCTACGTCTACGCCAAATTTCATTGCGATTCGTTCAGCCGTTTAGGGTACAAACTCTACTAAACATCCATCCATTTATCCATTCATCCATCCATCCAAACTTTCGCATTTATAATATCAGTAAGATGTTATTCAGTGTTAACGTACGTTTTTTATGGTGTTTTTTTGAAATTGTTCCAGTAGTTTTTGAGTTATTTCAATACATACAAAAATACAAATCTTTCCTCTTTATAATATTAGTAAAGACTATATCTGAAAATGTCACAAGATATTTGTATTGTAGCTGTTTTTTTCTATACTTGTATACTAATGTTAAAAGAGGAAATTTTTGTATGTATTTGATTTATGTAAAACTGGGCCGATTTTTAAATTTTTTTCACCATTATTAGGGTAATTTATCTGTAAATAACCAAGGCTTTTATTTTTCTTATTTTTCACGACCGAAGTCGCGAGAAACAGGTAATCTTTTATACATTTAAAAGATTTTTTCTTTATGTAACGCATTAATTCAAAAACTATCTAACAGTGGTAGTGCCCGCTTTAACATCTTAGCACTGCAGGGCACGCCCCCAGTAATACCACGACCACAGACAGGCGTCAAATGGAAGCAATTCCGTGTACAGTCTGATGAGTGTGGTGCCGGAGGCCTCATTTAACTCCCTTTCTCTTTACCACCCTTTTCTTATAAGAGGATGGGAAGGGAAAGTGGATTTGACGATGGAGGAGATGCATAGGAAGAGGAAACATCCTCCTTGTGTGCGTCTCCTCCTCCGTCGGATAAGGGTAGGCAACGCATCTGCAATTGCGGATGTATGGGCAGTCGCTTCACCATTTTGGCGGATTCAGGTGGCCGCTTGCTAGTTTGCCAACTTATGTTATAAAAAAAAAGGAATGAACGAATGTATATTAAAAAACCAAAAACTTAATTATACCATATATTATAAATTACAATTACATCAGATATATTTATTATTTGACTAAAATAATTAAATGTGTTTTCTAGGTTGTGCAGCGCACTGTACCGGCACAAACGAGTGCTCCTTCAGGACTGAAAGCTGAAGGGAAAGTGAATCCTAACGCAATGGAGCAGATAAGACTGCAGGTAAATATATTGCAAAACTAGCTGTTTCCCGCGACTTTGTCCGCGTGGAATTTGAAAATTCAAAGTTACGTTTGCCTTTTTTCAACCTATCAGCAAAAGTATTAACTTAGTAATCTATATGTTATTAAACAGAAATCCTGTAATGTAAGTTTTAATCATTTTCTAGTCATTTTAATTTTATGTAATTTGATAGTAATGTAGGAATTTTAAAGTAGGCTGGAAAAAGTGATTAAAGCTGTGATATTAAATTTTAAGAATCCCTGTAAATAAAAACTTTATGAAAAAATTTTTACACCCGAACCCCAGGTCCCTGAGTTATTGTATGTCAGGGGAACGACGAGGGCGGCAAAAGAGGCCGCCCTATAAAAAAAAAAAAACAGAAATCTACTGATGCATTCCAAATTTCTAAGCCCGGTAGCTTGTGAACTGATTTTTCGGTTATCCTGTTTGTTTGTTGTAGCCTAAACGGCTGAATAGATTATGATGAAATTTATAATAGATGTAGAGGATAGTTTAAAAGAAAACAGGCTAATTACCTTTGTTTATTTTTTTTAATTTCACGCGGACGGAGTCGCGGTCGAATACTAGTACACAATAGATGACATTAAATTTGTCTTTTTAATTGAATTCTAATACAAGTACTGTATTTTTCAGCAATTAAAACAACAACATCAACTGCTGCACCAACAACGGCAACAACTAAAACAACACCAGCAACAACTACAACAGCATATAACAGAACAAATGACAGACGTACAACCGACACCGGAGAACAAACCGGAACCTATCTACGATCTACCAATCCACAACAAACCGACATTAACCCCGCAACAACAAGAATTGATCCGCCAACAACAATTGCAACAACAACACCAGCAGCGACAGCTGTCGCAGCAACAGCAACAGATGCACCAACAGCAGCTGCAGCAGCACCAACAGTTGAAACAGATACAACAACAACAGCAACAACATTTGCAACAATTGCAACAACGGCAAGGAAGAGCGCAACAACAGCGTGCGACTGTCTCCCTCTCAAGTCGAGATACAAGCGTCTTCTCTACTTCCTCTGGTTGTTCTGGGTAATTATCTTACTAATATTATAAATGCGGATGGATGGATGGATGGATGTTAGTTTGTAGCGTAAACTGCTAAAAATTTGGCTAATGTACGGCATAGTCTAGAAGAACACAGGTTGCTTTTGTGTTTTTTTAATCACACGGACAGAATCGCGAACGATAGCTAGTTGTCTAATGTAATGCTTAAAAAAAATAAATAAAAAATGTGTGAAGATAAGGATTTTTAGCTGCTTCAAGTGAACTTTTTTAAAAAAATCGATTTTTCAAACATCTATGAATCGAATTCAGTTATCAAATATCGATGTTACTTATACATTATCTTTTTCAAAAGTGGTATATTAAAAAAAAACATACCGTCGAATTGAATACCTCCTTCTTTTGGTAAGTCGGTCAAATAGTCCTGTTAGAGTATTTTTTTATATAATATAAGTTGGCAAACGAGCAAGCGGCCTGAATCCACCGAAATGTAAAGCGACTGCAAATATCCGCAATTTTTTTATTTTAAAGTTGGTTTTGATATCGTGTTTACAGTAAAATACTTCAAGAGTGTATTTCTATAAGATACGAAATGAGTATATTAGAGGAAGTTTGAGAGTAGCCCCCATAGTAGAGAAGGTTAGGAGTAAAAAGGTTAGTATGGGGGCATGTTATGAGGAGGGATGAATCGCATGTTACAAGAACGTTAGTTATGAGTGTGGTACACCGGTAGAGGTAGACAGAAAGAGATGGATGTATTGTGTAAAAGGTGACATGATCAAGGGAGTGATGACTGAGATGACGTATGATAGAGTTTGGAGGACAAAAACCTGTTGCGCCCCTACGGGAGTAGGATAAGGAGATGATGATGATGATGAGTGTATTTCTATGTAAACTAACGTAAATGAAGTGTGTATTGTCAACACAGCGACGCCATATTAGATAAGCCACTTGCTTCAACCAATAGTGTGCGTTTTAGAACTTAATGACCGTGTGATTTTAGTGGTTCCTTCTGGCGCTGCGGCCGTGCTGAAGATCCTCGTGACCTGGACGCTCTTCTGCAATATATTGAAGGTCCACAGCGACACGTGGATAGGGGAAAGAAGAAAGCAAAGAAGCAGCGGCAGCGAGCCAAGAAGGTATTCTATTTTTTATGTTTGTTAGTTATGAGTGTACACTAGCAAAGGTAGAGGTAGAAAGAGATTTTTTTTATAATGCAAGGTGTCAAACGAGCAAGCGGCTTGAATCCTGGTAGAGCCCGCTTTAACATCTTCGCACTATAGGGCTCGGCAGCAATACCACGACCACAGACAGGCGGGAAGTGGAAGCAATTCCGTGTACAGTCTGATGAGTGTGGTACCGGAGGCCTCATTTAAGTCCCTTTCTCTATACCACCCTTTTGTTATAAGGAGAAGTGGATTTGACGGAGGAGATACATAGAAAGGGGAAATATCCTCCTCTGTCGGATACGGGTAGGCAACGTATCAGCAATTGCGGATGTCTATGGGCAGTCGCTTCGCCATTTTGGCGGATTCAGGTGGCCGCTTGCTCGTCTGCCACCTTTTTGTATAAAAAAAGGGTGTCTCATAGTTAGTTTACCCCCAGATGGAGTCCCGTCTCGTGGAGCAGCGCAAGACTTTAGCAGGGGAATTGTCATACGTGAAGGTGATAGCGTCTACGCTGGCTGAAGTTCTAGATTCAGCTAACAGACGCGCCCAGCACGCTAAAGCTGCCCTCGCCTTACACCGCGCTAAGAGGAAGGGTAAGGAATATTATACTAGCTTTTGCCCGCGACTCCTTGCGTGGAATTAAAAAAAAAACTAAAGTAAGTAGCCTATGCGTTCTTCCAGACTATCCTCTACATCTATGACAAATTTCATCGATATCCATTCAGCAGTTTAGGCTACAAACTCTAACAAACATCCATCCATCCATCTAAACTTTCGCATTTATAATACTAGTAAAGTTAGTAAGACTAGTACTACTAAAATAACCTATGTTACTGATAACGTACCTTTTAATTGGTAAAAGAAATTTTAAAATCGCCCCAGTAGTTTTTGAGTTATTTCAATAAATACAAATCATTCTTCTTTATGTTAGTAATAGTTTTCGCCCGCGATTCCGTCCGCGTGAATTTAAAAAAAATTGAGTAGCCTATGCCTTCTAGACTATCCTCTACATCTGTGTCAAATTTCATCCAGATCCATTTAGCTGTTTAGTGTATAAACTAACAAACATCCATCTAAACTTTCGCATTTATATTAGTAAGATTAGTACTACTGGAATAGCCTATGTTACTCACTGATAACGTAGCTTTTAATTGGTGAAAAAATTTTTGAAATCGCCCCAGTAGTTTTTGAGTTATTTCAATAAATACAAAAATACAAATCACTCTCTTTATTACTTACTGACTTGGCGCAGCGACCCAACGTCTTGTCCTCCTACACGAGAATATTATAGCTTCTTTATTTTAGTATAGTTAAAAACCTTTATTTATTCTAAAGAATGATTATTCTGTGTGGTTTTAGGGATTGAAATTTAAATTTACATTTTCCAATTGTATAGATATCCCCATATAGATGTCTATTTGTAGCCATTATCTATATTTTAAAATTTAATGACAGGCAAGAAGACGAAAGTGAACCCCGCCGTACAAGCGAAGGTGCAACTGCTGACTGAACAGTTGACCCAAATCAATACCTTCATATCTAATACCTCTGAGGTAAATATTATTTATATATATAATGTCTTTCGACTAACATCAGGTAATGTTGGGTGATTTTAACAGCGGTAGTGCCCGCTTTAACATCTTAGCCCTGCAGGGCTCGCCCCCAGTAATACCACGACCACAGACAGCCGTGAAGTGGAAGCAATTCCGTGTACAGTCTGATGAGTGTGGTGCCGGAGGCCTCATTTAAGTCACTTTCTCTTTACCACCCTTTATATGGAGAGAATGGGATGGGGAAGTGGATTTGACGGAGGAGATACATAGGAAGGGGAGATATCCTCTTTATGTTCGTCTCCTCCTCTGTCGGATAAGAGTAGGCAACGCATCTGCAATGACTTTTATTTAAAATCCAGCTCGTTGATATATATTTGTATGTATACAGGACTTGCAAGCAGCCGAGCGGCAAGTGGCTGAGGCGAGTCGTCGCCTGCAGCAGTGCGAGAGGGAACTGCATGAGGCGCGCGCGGTGCAGGGCAAGCCGGATAAACCCCATCAGGTATATTTCCTACAGAAATAAGATTTTGTATACTATGTTACAGTTAATGGACACTTGTATACTACTTACTGCAAAGTTTAGGACATTTGTATACAAGTTGCAAGTACAAGATGCAATATTGTAAACACACTTGTATAAGTTGCATGTTGATTAGGACACTTTATACAAGTTGCAATATTGTAAGGACACTTGTATACTAAGTTGCATGTTGATTAGGACACTTTATACAAGTTGCAATATTATGAGGACACTTGTATAAGTTGCATGTTTAGTAGGACACATGTATACAAGATGCAATATTGTAAGGACACTTGTATACTAAGTTGCATGTTGATTAGGACGCTGTATACAAGTTGCAATATTATGAGGACACTTGTATAAGTTGCATGTTTACTAGGACACTTTATACAAGTTCCAAATTCTAAGGACTCTTGTATAGTTGTTGCATTCTGGTTAATTTTCAAATTATCTTTGAATTAATCTGTCCTAACTGTAAGTGATAACGTCTCTGAGTGCTAAATTAATGTATTGTTTAGAACCCTGAGGTGGAGGAGGCGGATGTGGCACGTCTCCGTGATCTATGTGATGAGAAACTGAACCTTCAGCTGGGGAACTTCCAGAAGTTGAAAGAAGTTGCCAGAGCTCTTGGTATGTAGAATAACTGTCTACGGTTTTACACGATTTTTTATATACTTGTAATGAATTGTGTCAAAATTTGTAAAATAAGCTTTCGCCCGCGACTCTGTCCGAGTGGAATTAAAAAAAAAGTAAGCACACTATGTGCTCTTCTAGACATGTATGACATTTCATCGAAAAGTTTAGTTTACAAACTCTAACCAACATCCATACAATTCTCGCAATTATAATATTAGTAAGATTACTAGCTTTCCCGATTCTGCGCGGAGTTAAACACTGGTTAGTAGTTAGTAGTTATTGGTTGGTTAGTAACAAACATCCATCCATTCTTTCACATTTAACAACATACTAATATTATAAATGCGAAAGTTTGGATGGATGTTTGTTAAAGTTTGTACCCTAAACGAATGAACGGATTTCGATTAAATTTGGTATAGATGTAGAGGATAGTCTGGAAGAATACATAGGCTTTCTTTTTTTTTAATTCCACGCAAGAAGTCGCGGGAAAAAGCTAGTTTGTCACAGATGTAACATAATAATTATGTAACCTTTAAAGGAGGAGGTGATGGGTGCAGTGTGGTGCGAGTTCGTCGCGCTGGCTCCGGCGGGGTTACCCTCTCAGTGGATGGTCGTGATGATGTACCTTTAGCGCATTTACTGCAGCCCACCCCTAACACAGGTAAATAAGGGAAGGGGGTAATTTAGTCACCTAGCCCTATTTATAAAAACGTCGCCTATAACATTCTCCTCTCTCTCTCTCTATCTCTCTTCTTCGTTTACCTCTAACATCAGTGGTAGTGCCCGCTTTAACATCTTAGCACTGCAGGGCACGCCCCCAGTAATACCACGACCACAGACAGCCGGGAAGTGGAAGCAATTCCGTGTACAGTTTGATGAGTGTGGTGCCGGAGGCTTAATTTAAGTCCCTTTCCCTTTACCACCCTTTTCTTATAAAGAGAGGTTGGGAAGAGGAAGTGGATTTGACGGTGGAGGAGATGCATAGGAAGGGGAAATATCATCTTTATGTGCGTCTCCTCCTTCATCGTATAAGGGTAGGCAACGCATCTGCAATTGCGGATGTCTATGGGCAGTCGCTTCGCCATTTTGGCGGTTTCAGGTGGCCGCTTGCTCGTTTGCCACTATATGTTATAAAAAAAATCTATCTTCTATCATCTACCTATCAAAGTCCCGTTAAAATCGGTCCATCATTACCAGAGATAGAATAGATTTAAAAAAATAACCTATAACATGCCCGTCCATGTTAGCTACCCTCCTGTGAAAGTCACGTCAATCAGTCTACATATTTTGATTATGACGAACAAACGCGGCTTGCGAACAAACTTTTTTAATTGCGATATTCGTTATCGAGCGTCAGTGGCTCAGTGGTTTAAGCACTTGACTTGTAATCTACAGTTCTTGGGTTCGAATCCCGCTGTACCTGTGATTTTTGATTTTTCGAATTTTCATATGTATTCATTCTTACGATGATGGAAAACATCGTGATGCCTGCACATATCAATCAAATTAAATTAAATTAAATCCTTTATTATTTCACTTTAAAAATATACACATTTCATGAGAGCCTTGGCTCCTGCACTAGGTTCCCCTGTGCTGCAGGAGCCAATCCCTTTCCCCATTTGTGAAGAGCAATACATATTCATAAGTGTCTAAACATAAAATACAAAGAAAAACATTAAATTTACTTATTATAGAAATGACGAATAACAAAAAAAAAATAAAAACAAAGGAAAAGAAAATTACATACATTTTTTTTGTGCGATAGCGATGTTGAGTGTTTTGTGCCTGTGTGTAGGTGTGTGTGTGTGTAAGTGTGTTTTTGTGTATGTGTGTGGGAGAATATGTGTTTATATTACTCTTTAATCGTTATGAGGTTTTCACAGTCTCCATAGTCTAAGTTGTCTAGCCAATTTTTCGCAATTTGTTTCATTCTGAAGTAGTTTAATTTATTTATGTTGTGTATTTTATTTAGTAAGTTGTATAATCTAGGCGAAGAAATTCAAAGATATGTGTGAAGTCAACCCGCAGTGCAGCGTGGTTGACTATGGCCTAGTCACCCCTTATTAGGGTAGGCTCCGAGCCCCTTAGTGGGGACGTATAGTGAGCTGGTGATGTAATTTTCGTTATCAGCAACATAATATAAAAGTCATCTTAGCAAAATCTGGAATTTTTATTTTCTCATTACATAGACACTGTTCAAGGAGTTACACGTTTTTAGAGTCAAGCCATTAGAAAAGAAGAAGAAATTGAATTATTCAAAATTAGAACACATTGTTGACGTCATCACTTTTTTATATTTTTCTGTACATATTTTATCATTAGACACGTATCCGTTAAAAATAGTTTTATTTCTAAATCTTTTACGATATACAGACACTCTAAATTTATTATACGCATAGATAATCCTCTTAAACTACAAAAAACCGATCGATTGACAAAGAAAGGAAATAATTTATTACTGGTAATATTTTTTTCAATAAAAATGTCTATATTTGGCTTTTTGGCTAATTTTACAACTGTGAAAGATGTTAAAAATTTGTAGATACATTTATAATACATTAAATACCTCGAAAACTCAAACCTCGGTAACATAAATCTCTATAACTTCAAATAATATGTTCCCTTCCCAACAGAGCCCAAAACCTCTACAACATAGACCCTTGATAACTTAAAACCCCTATAACTTCAAATAATATGTTCCCTTCCCATCAGAGCCCAAAACCTCTACAACATAGACACTTGATAACTTAAAAACCTCTATAACTTCAAATAATATGTTCCCTTCCCATCAGAGCCCAAAACCTCTACAACATAGACCCTTGATAACTTAAAACCTCTATTACTTCAAAAAATAATATGTTCCCTTCCCAACAGAGCCCAAAACCTCTACAACATAGACCCTTGATAACTTAAAACCTCTATAACTTAAAATGTATTGTGTTTCCCTTGGACTTTAACTTATCGAGGTTCTACTGTATTATATAACTTAAAATACTTGAAAAGTTTGTGTGTTTGTGTGCGTTAATCTCAGAAACGGCTTTATGGATTCCAATTGAGTTTTCACTAAAGTATTGTGCTTCATTATCATCTTAACCTATTCCCGTTGGCGCAACAGGTTTTTGTCCTCCAAACTCTATCATACGTCATCTGTCATCACTCCTTGATCATGTCACCTTTCACGCAATACATCCATCTCTTTCTGTCTACCTCTACCGGTATACCACACTCATAACGTTATGCGATTCATCCCTCATAACATGCCCCCATTTTTTTTTATAACATAAGGTGGCAAACGAGCAAGCGGCCACCTAAAACCGCCAAAATGGCGAAGCGACTGCCCATAGACATCCGTAATTACAGTGTTGCTTACCCTTAAACGACGGCGGAGGAGACACACATAAAGAGGATATTTCCCCTTCCTATGCATCTCCTCCACCGTCAAATCCACTTCCACTTCCCATCCTCTCTTTATAAAAAAAGGGTGGTAAAGAGAAAGGGACTTCAATTAGGCCTCCGGCACCACACTCATCAGACTGTACACGGAATTGCTTCCATTTGACGCCTGTCTGTGGTCGTGGTGTTACTGGGGGAGTGTCCTGCAGTGCTAAGATGTTAAAGCGGGCATTACCGCTGATAAACGGTACCACTTCTACCGGTGTACTCTTAACTGACGTTCTCCTTGTAACATGCCCATACCATGCTAACCTTTTACTCCTTACCTTCTACCACTGGGGCTACTCTCACTTCCTCTAATATACTCATTTCGTATCTTATCCATTCGTGTTACATCCATCTTGACATTCGCATTTCCGCCACATGTAGTCTCCTTTCATCCGTTCCTTTTACTGCCCAACATTCAGATTGTGCTTAGATTCACTTAAAACTTAGTGTTTGTTTCACTTTAATTATTCAATATTTAACAATTTTTATACATTTGAAGGTGAAAAACCCGTCGAAGAGGCGCCAAAATCGAAAGATCAGCCACAACGCAAGCAAACCTGGGAGCAAGCTCTAGCGCATATTAATCAAGTTGCTAAAGGAACTAATAAAGAGAAGGTAAATAATCAATGTAACACTAGCTGTTCCTTGCGACTTCGTCTGCGTGAAATTAAATAATATAGCCTATGTTCTAACAGTGAAAGAATTTTAAAAATCTTCCCAGTAGTTATTGAGTTATTTCAATACATACAAAAATACAAATCTTTCCTCTTTATGTTAGTAAAGATACTGAAAATAAACCATATTCCCTTTTTAAATCCATACTAATATGATAAAGCGTAAACACACATCTTTATTGCCTAAGATGTCAGCAATTACAACATATTTTTGAATAACCCTTTTTTTAATAAAAAGCCCTACACTTACATCACGCTTTAGGCTATATATTTTCACGCTATTAAACTTAGGGGTAAATATTTCGGATAAAAACTCTAATGTGGGAAAGAGACCATAAGTTGCTGCCAACATTAAGGAAGCAAGATTGCCAAATTTTGTCATGTCATGTCATTTTGACATTTGTAATTGATAATTTGACAAATGTGAACAATAAAATGAATTTTTTATAATTTCATGCGGATGAAGTCGCACGGGAATAGCTAGTTTAGTATACAACTGTCAATTTACATACATACAAAAAAAACCATCTTGTTATTTGTATCAAAAATGAGCATGTACTAAAATTTAATTTAAAACACTTAAAATGTTACAGAAGAAGCAGAAAGAAGAACCGGCAGCTAAAGCAGAAGTGAAGCCTAAAGAACAGAAGAAACCACAAGCGGAACCCGAACCAGCGCTCTCTAAGAAGCAGAAGAAATTATTAGCTAAACAACAGGTAAGTATATAAATTTTGTATAAAACTAGCTTTTGCCCGCGACTATTCGCGCGGAATTAAAAAATATAGTCTGTTCTTCCAAAATATCATCATCGAGATCCGTTCATTTTAGAAAACAAACTAACAAACATCCATCAAAATTTTCACATTTATATTAGTAAGACTAGTGGTTTGTACAAATGCAATTACTAATATTATAAATACGAAAGTTTAGATGGATGTTTGGTAGTTTGTATCCTAAAATTAACGGATGTCAAAGATTGTTTAATGTAGAGGATATTCTGGAAGAATAAATACTAGTTACTTTGGTTTTTGATTAAAAGTAAGAGTCGCGGGCATAAGCTAGTTGTAAATAAATCTAAGATGGCTGGTGATTCTTTTTTTGTGAATGAACCAAATATTAAAATTTGTCTAATAGAATATGACAATGATGTCAAGTTTGAATGATCGATACAAAATAACTAATTTAAATAGATTTTTATCTTATAATTGGAAGTTTTTATGTAAAAGAAAGTAAGTAATCAAATTCTATACTTAATATTCAAACAGGCGGAAGAAGAAGAGAAGAAGAAGCAGCAGCAGCAAGCGGAAGTAAAGAAGAAGGAAAAGAAAGTTGAACCACCGAAACCGGAACCTGTCGGTAAGAAAGTCGAAAAGAAACCCACTGCCAGTGAAATTAAAGCAGAAGATAAGGCAAAGAAGAAGGAATGCAAGAAGCAGGAGAAGATAGAGAAGGTAGAGAAGAAAGTAAAGGAAAAACAGGAAAAACAAGAAAAGACTGGTTTGTATTTATGCAAATAATAAAATTCTCAAAATTTCTTTATTAAAAAACAAAAAAAAAATCCTCTAGCCAACTAACTTGCGTTTTCAAATAATACTCTTTAGATAGTAAAAAGGTTAGCGTGGTATGGACATGTTATGCGACGAAATGATGGGGATATAAACCAGAAAGTGTTGAGATTGAATGTGGATGGCTACAAAGGAAGAGGAAGACCGAAGAAAGTATGGATTGTGTTGCAGAGGATATGCTTAAGAAAGGAGTGTATTCAGATATGACTGATAGAGATGTATGGAAGAGCAGCACAGACTGTGCCGACCCTCCGTAAGGGATAAGGGCAAGTGGATGATGACTCTTTAGATAGTATATTTCATTTATAATGTTATAATTTTCAAAAACATAGAAATCGATTAAATCTATGTGTGTTATACATTTAAAAAATTAGTTACTAAAGATACCTAATTTTAAAAAATACTATCTGTCTGCTTGTCTGTCAGCAAGTCGGCGTTTGTTTCGTTTATTTTTGGTACTACTGGACTCGATTTGACGGTAACAGGACAGTTTTACTGGAACAAAAGAAGAATTTACTTCAAACTGTTTCTTATTAAGTCCGCGCTTTAACTTATTTAATACTAGCTTTCGCTCGCGACTCCGTCCGCGTAAAAAAAACAAAAGTAAGTAGCCTATGTGTTCTTCCAGACTATGCTCTACATCTATGCTAAATTTCATCCAAATCCGTTTAGCCGTTATGCTACAAACTAACATCCATCCATCTATCCATTCATATTATTAAAATCTATAATTGCGATATTATACGGTTTCAGCTCCAACGCCGAAACCAAAGCAGACTCCAGCACAGAAGAAGAAGGAACCAGAACTGACAGCTAAACAACAAGCTATACAGAAGCCGCAAGTGGTCACACCAGATACTACTATAGAAGTTGTTAATAATAAGGTAAGCTGTTAATAATAATATTTCCCGTTGGGACGTTCGGTTACAAAGGACCCATTGGAATTTTTCCGTTGGGCTGTTCGATTCCAAAATGCCCATTGTAAAATTTACCCGTTGGGCGGTTCGTAACCAACCGACCCATTGGAATTTATTCCTTTGGATCTTTCGATTCTAACGACACATTGGTATTATTCCCATTAGGCCGTTTGATTCCAAATGACCCTCTGGTTTTTCCCATTGGGCCGCATTCAAATTTAGAAAGTTTAGATGGATGGATGTTTGTTAAAGTTTGTAGCCTAAACTGCTGAACGGATCTGGATGAAATTTGTCATAAATGTAGAGCAGAGTATGGAAGAACACATAGGCTACTTTTTTTTTTAATACTACGCGGATGGAGTCGCGGGCGAAAGCTTGTATTTATATAACTAGTTAATTTGCATATGTTTTGTACAGCGGAGTCCTTGCCCCAGTGAGATAGAAAAACCCGCTTCTTGCAGTATTATGGAACAACTAAGTAGCGGAGTTCAGGTAAGATATTACCGAATAATGCCCGGTTTCCCAGTTTTGATTAATTTTTATATATTATCGCGACTCCCGTGAGTTATTTCAATTCATATAAAAATACAAATCTTTCTTTTTTATATTGTAGTGGCAAATGAGCAAAGGACCATCTGGTTTCGCCAAAATGGCGAATTGCCCATAGATATCCGCAATTGCAGATGTGTTGCCTACATTTAATTGACAGAGGAGGAGACACACATAAAGAGGATGTTTCCCCTTCCTGTGTATCTTCTCGCCCTTCCAATACACATTCTCTTCCCATTCCTCTTAAGAAAAGGATGGAAAGGGACTAGATTTAAGCAATCTTTTTAATTTTGTTTTCTTTTAAAACCTTAAAACCAGTTTTTTTTTCTTGTATATTTTACTATTTTCCCGTATTTCAGGTGGCGGATTTAAAACTACCCCCCGGTATAACTTTGACCAGAGTTCAGCCAAACGAGAAGAAGGAAACTCCACCTATTAACTCTGTGGTAAGAAACTATTTAAGATATATTATAACTAGCCTATAGTGGTATTAGAGGATGTAGTTTCACCGGGCGGTGAAATAAACCACTATATAATAATAAAACAGTTTATTGTTTCACGCACACGGATACAAGTTAAGACGTACACGTAAACAATATAAACAATGTAAACACGTAAACAAAATGGCGGGCGAGAGGGCAAACGAGCGAGGTGTCAGCACAGTGTAGCAGCGCGAGGCGACTGTTGGCCGGCCGGCGCGGCGCGGTGCATGATTCCGCATTTCGGACATTTTGCGTCCGCGCCGCGGGCGGCGCTCTGTAGCGCGTTGCAATTGTATATATAAATGTGGAGTGTGCGTGTTTGTTTGTACGTGTATAATATTTTATTTTGTATGTGAATATATGAGATGTGTTTTGAGTATGTGATGTTGTGTTGTGAATGTGTGTGAGTGAATGTTATATAATAAATAAATGTAGTGTAATATATAAATAGATAGAAAATTAAATAAATAGATAAGTACACTACAAGCCTTTCGCCCGCAACTGCGTTCGCGTGGAATTTAAAAAAGCAAAAATAAGTAGCCTAAGTGTTCTTCCAGAATTTCTACGAGATCTGTTCAGAAGTTTAGGCTACAAACTCTAATTTCCATCCATCTATATGTTCGCATTTAAAGTAATTTTTTTTATTTGTTTTTTTTTATTCCAGCCGTTATGGCGTTGTTCTGAGTTATCGGCGCAGCCCACCCCGCCTCCGCGTCCGCCGCCGCTTATTAATGCGGACCCCGCACATGCGACCTTCACAACACAACTGCCAGGTAATATATATTACTAGCTGTTCCCGCGCGGCTTCATTCGCATGAAATTATCAAAATTTTATTTTATTGTTTACATTTGTCAAATTATCAATAGCAAATGTCAAAATGACATGACAGGACACACTTTGGCAATCTTGCTTCCTTGATGTTGGCAGCAACTTATGGTCTCTTTCCCACATTAGGGTTTTTATCCAAAATATTTACCCCATAAGTTTAATGGCGTTAAATATATAGCCTAAAGCGTGACGTAAGTGTAGGGATTTTTATTAAAAAATTGAATTCAAAAATATGCTGTGATTGCTGACATCTTAGGCAACAAAGTGTGTGTTTACGCTTTATTATATTAGTACAAAAAAAAAACATTCACTATAGAAAAATAATTAACTTTCCCCCGTACCTCAATCTGCATGGAATAAAAAAGTGAGTAGCCTATGTGTTCTTCCAGACTATCCTCTACATCTGTACCAAATTTCATCAAAATCTGTTCGGCCGTTTAGGCTACAAACTCTAACAAACATCCATTTATAATATTAGTATGATTAGCTGTTCCTCGTGACTTAGTACGCGAGAAATTAAAAAATAATAAAAAAAACGAAGCCTATTTCACTAAGTAATAATGTAGCTTTTTAATGTAAGAATTAAAGTTATATAATGTCATATGAGTGAAACCGCATGGAAACAGTTAGTTTATTATATAAATAAACCTAAAATATCCTATATAATGTAAATAACTTTTTTTCCAGAACCACCGAAAACCATCATAGTACCCGACCCAACGCCAATACCGATACAGAACGTTGGTAAATCCAAGAAATCCAAAAAGAAAGCCAAAAAGGCCAACGAGAATGACACCAAACAGGATGGTGCCAAAATGGTGACATTACGGAACCCAATGTTCCATCCCAATCTACCAACGGTACAAATAACCAATGCACCGAAGAAACCAGAAATACATATACCAGAACCGATACCAATGCCACCAACACCTTGCCAAGCGACGATAACACCAACTTCCAATGGAATGTATACCATCAGAAACCCGTTAATGTCCATAATGCATCAGCAAAGCCTAATGGGGGTGAGGAACCCAGCCCCGCAGAACCAAACATTGTTCACACAACCGCAATACACATATGTCAATCCAAATGTATACAATCCGGTTCAAAACCAGAACCAGAACCAGAACCAATACGTTTTAGAGCAACCGAGGAACTCACCGAAGAATCATGAATCAGAATTACAGAATAGAATATTAAATCTAACGAATTTTTCACAGAAAAGTGATGGTTATTCGTTATTTAGTACACCAGAAGCAACGCAACAGAGAAGTTTTCTATCACCGGAGTACTATGAGGAGAGTAAACCGGTGGTTTCACCTAACCCGATAGGAACCAGACCGAATACAGAAAGAAGTTTCGAGAATGAATCTTTATTCTCCAATCCGATACGTCCGGAACCGATTGGAACTCCAAGGAATGATGAATTCAAAGGAAGTTTGTACACACCGTTCGGACAGGAAGATAGAAATGTGTTCAGAAATGCGTTGTTTAGTGATAAAAGTGAAAATAGTGTGAATGTGTGTAAACCGCAGGAAGTTGGAATGTCAAATATAACAAACGGTGACTCTCTACCATATTTCCAACGGCTTCGGGTTGGCTCTAAGTTGAACAGTGAAGTTACTATACATCATGTGACTGAATCTAAGTTTTATAAACAGGTGAGTTATTTGGAATATATAACTAGTGTTCACACGTGACTTTGTTCACAGTTAGCTTGTCACTCCAGAGAATAACAACCAATGTGCTTCTAGATAGGCAGTTCAGATATCTATATATTCTATATCGTACTTATAGCTTACATATAATAAAATTGGAGTGTCTGTCTGTGATATAATAATAATAAAAGTATTATTTATGTATTTTATGTTATTACTAGCTTTCACCCGCGACTGTCCGCGTGGTATTAAAAAAACAAAACCAAATAGTCTGTGTTCTTCCAGACTATCCTCTACATCTATACCAAATTTCATTGAAATCCGTTCAGCCGTTTGTTAGGCAACAAACTCTAACAAACATCCATCCATCCATCTAAATTTTCACATTTATAATATTAGTATGATATAAGTAATTTATATTAGTATGTGTATAAATATATATTTATTTTATTTATATATAAAAGCCAGCCGGACGGAGACAAAATAACTTTAAAAAGGAAATAATAATAAATCAGTTCCAAAACACATTGCAACATAATGCAATTGAACAACAAAAAAATACAAACAAGAAAAAAACAAACTAACCATTAACAATCAAGTGAAAAATTCTAGATTTCGGGAAGATGATGTATTTGCGTTGCTAATAACGAAAAAAGTATTACAAAAAATTTTGTCTATCTGTCTGTCCGCATGCGTTTGTTCCGGGTAATCTCCGTAACCTCTGGGCCTATTTCGACCGGACTTTCACTGGAGGGTAGCTGACATAGACCCGCATGTTATAGGCTACTTTTTTTTAATTTAATAAAACATTTTGTATACAGGATGGTTCACAAATGGATGAAGTACGCGGAGATGAGTCTCTCTTCTCGCGTCGCTCGCCGCCCGCGTGGCCGGACACCCTGTACGCACACAACCATACTGGTGAGTAACATTATGACGACACTAGCTTTCGCCCGTGACTCCGTCTGTGCGGAATGAAAAAAAACAAAAGCGAGTAGCCTATGTGTTCTTCCAGACTATCTTCTACGTCTATGTCAAATTTCATCGGAATCCGTTCAGCCGTTTAGGCTACAAACTCTAACAAATATCCATATAAACTTTCGCATTTATAATATTAGTAAGATATGATATCTTCCAATCGTTGTTTTAATATTTTAAACGTAAATAACTTCTTAAAAACCGCATTTCATATTAAAGAGTTTAATTTTTCGTTTTCTTTAACAAAAAAATAATTAAAAAAAATTGGTGGCGGGTTTTTATTGTTTTTTTTTTTCGCGATTTTTTAATTTTTTCTTTTTTTTTCTCCCCATCCCTTATAGAAATGTTATGAAACACGGTGGTTCAGAGGATGTTCGGAAGGCGAAGGAAAACAGAGAAATAACATAGACGGAAACACAAATATAGTTGATTATAAATAAATTAGTTGAAAGATTTTTTTGTTTTTTTTTTTCATTTTTTTTAAAGTTTTAAAGTTAGCTGTAAAATATTCCAGAGACATCTTAAAATCTCTATTCCCACTACTATTTCGAAGGTTTTAATCGTTTTTCTATTATTTCGAATATTAGGAGTCAAAAAAATTAAAAAAATATAAAAAAAACATTTTATCCTTCGTTATCGTTCTAAAAATCGCTATATGACAGCAAAAAAACCTACAATGGACGTGAGATTTTGAAATTAAAAAAATAATTAAAAAGTCCGAATACTGGCCATATTTTTTTCTTCTCTAAATCTTCTATTTGATGTTTTTGAGTATATTATACTAGCTGTTGCTCGCGATTTCGTCCCCATGGAATTAAAAAAATAGAAAAAAAGATTTTTTACTTAACGATAGGGTAACTTTAATGGTGCAATATTTTTTTAATCTCTTTATAATATTAGTATAGATTACAGTCAGGTTTTTGTTTGAAGTTAATCATAAATGTCTCTGGTTATACCATGACCTCATCCCCTACCCAGGCATCTCAACCCCCTGCTCGCCAGGGGACTTCGACAACGGGACGATTTCACCCTCTCCTCCTAACGACGACGGCCCCGGCGCTATAGGGGAGGGGGCGCCACATTCAAGACATGGTATGTATCAAAAAGCTAGCCTTAAGTATTCCTTTTAAGTGGCCCTTTACTCCTTACCTTCTCTACCACTGGGGTTACTCAAACTTCCTCTAATATACTCATTTCGTATCTCACTAATAGTGGTAGAGCCCGCTTTAACATCTTCACTGTAGGGCTCTCAGCAATACCACGACCACACAGACAGGCGGGAAGTGGAAGCAATTCCGCGTACTAATGAGTGGTCCTGGAGGCCTAATTTTAGTCCCTTTCCCATTCCACCCTTTTCTTAAGAGGAAAGGATGGAAAGGAAAAGTGGATTTGACGGTTTTGTCGCATAGAAAGGGGCAATGTCCTCTTTATGTGCGTCTCCGTCAATGATGGGTAGGCAGCGCTGCAATTGCGAATGTTTATAGCAGCGGTCGCTTTACATTTCGGTGGATTCAGGCCGCTTGCTCGTTTGCCAACTTGTATTATATAAAAAAAATCTTGTGTCGCTTAGTATAGATATTTGATTATCAAAGTATATTTTTTTCAGATAACAACGTGTTTTATCCGGACCGTACTATAACTAACCTCTCGGCTTTAGAAGCAGCTGAGAGGGAGATAGAATCTTTTAAACGATTCGACTTTTATTTCGAACCTCCCCGACATAAGCCGCGTGTGACCCTCGATGTTAGCGCCCTTAGACCTGGACATAAGTGAATAATGCAAGACTTTAAAAAATAACAACTTTTAAAAAAAATAGTAACTTTTAAAAAAATAATGACTTTTAAAAATATTTTAAAGGTTTTAAAAATCGGATCCAAATGTTTTTATGCTTGATAGTTGTCTGGATATAATTTTTAAATCGCAATTTAAGTTTTAATTTGTTAAAAAACATTATAATATTGAATTTACAAATTGTTATTATTTGATTAAAGAGATTCCATTAAAGTAACAGTCAAAAGAAATGAGAAATTTATCTACTAACTGGCTGAAAATATAATTTATGATTTATACTGAAATCATAATCTTAAGGGCCAGTTCCACTGGCTGAGACTCAGATAGCTTAAAAATAACGTCACATAAGGGAAAAAAATCAGATTTCCGTCACATTTTGCACTCGATTGTAGCAATTTACAATTTGGTGGGACAGGCCCTTAGTAGTTTCAGTGTTACATGTCTATATGTCTACTTATGTAATATTTTTTAAAGGTTTATTGCTGATTTCTATTGAATTTAATTTTACGTAAATATATTGAAATAAGAAAGGTATATAAGCATACTGTATTTGAAAATCTAACACGCCTTTGAAAATCTCACAATTTTTAAATTTAAAATTTGTCCTAATTTTGATATATAACAGAGTTTAATTATTTATTATTTAAAACTAGCTGTTCCCTTGCGAATTCATCCGCGTGGAATTACAAAATTTTTATTTTATTGTACAAATGTCAAATTGACATGACATGATGGCAACCTTCCTTGATGTTGGCAGCAACTTATGGTCTCTCTCCCACGTTAGGGTTTTTATCCAAAATATTTACCCCCTAAATTTAATGGCGTGAGAATGTATAGCCTCAAGCGTGACGCAAGTGTAGGGCTTTTTATTAAAAAAAAATTATTATTCAAAAACATGCTGCTGACATCTCAGGCAACAAAGAAGTGTGTGTTTACGCTTTATTATAATAGTATAGACAATATTTCGTTTTCAAACATCCAAGTCGTGTTTTAAATAATTGCCATATAAAATAATTTCGAAATTCAGATAACGGATATAGACGGTTAAAAATTACTAGAATACCACGTAAATATGTGGATTTTAAACTTGGACCCATTTTCTTCCCCTTTATATGAAAAGGATGGGAAGAGAACGTGGATTTGATTGTGGAGACATAGGAAGGCGAAATATCCTCTTTTGCGCCTCTGTCGATTAAGGGTAGACAACGCACCACTATTACGAATGTCTATGGGCAGTCGCTTTGCCAGTTTGGCGAATATTTATGATATTAAAAAAAAACACAAAAATGCAAGACATTTCTAAAATTATGAGAAAACGATATCAAAATCATGTTAAAAAAAGTTAATTAAACACAGAATTTGCGACACAAGGAATTGACACTGACAGTTGACTGTCAAACTGACGTAACTGTCAAATATATTGACGTTTGTAAATATTTAAAGTATAGTCCGACTAAGTTATCTGACCCGGTGACTTAAGGATTAATGTCATGAAGTAACACGTCACGTCAAATCTAGCTGTAGTTCACGTGAAATTAATAAATAGTAAAAAATATAGCCTATGTTGAAAGAAAACTTGAATAAGCCCAGTAGTTTTTGAGTTATTTCAATAAATAACTCAAAAACTACTCAACATATATTGATATCCAAAAATATATAAGATATTTTAATAAATAACTCACAAACTACTGGACATATATTGATATGCAAAAATACAATTTTTTCCTTTTTATAATAGTATATAGGCAGAAAATATGACACGAGAGATCTGGAGATAGTCATAGTTTGACTCTCACCGGGTCAAATGAGTTGGTCTAAGTGTAAGAGCTAGTAACGATTTTTGAATCTATGTATAATTTCCGATTTAAAATACAGATTAGCTGAATTCCTAGTTAATAATTATTCAGTAATTAGTTGAATCGCTTCATATGCTTAGTCTGACCTCTATAGACGTGAAGGTCAAACACGAATTACGAGATGCAAAAATAAATTGTAACTCGTATAATTTTAATTAATCTATAGATTTAGATCTAACATGAAAATTTACAATATACAGTATTAAAAAAAATTGTTTTAACTATCAAGTTATGTCGATTGTAAATTTTCGTGGTTAATTCGCTTCTTGATAATTTTAGCTTCGTATTAAAACTGCCAGATTAGTTGTTTCTTATAACGTCAATGGCGTTAATATAAGCACAAAAATCGCTTATTAGATTACGGAATTAGTACTGGACTGCGTTACTAGCTCGGAAGAGCGCTTTTCGCTTTAAAGCGCCCACACTTGACTAAATTATCGCAGAACTGTTTAGTCTCGCTTTGATAATGCACTATTAGTTGTCCAACTAAACAGTTGAGGCAGCAATAGACAGTCGATATGCGATAATTTGGTCAAAAATGTGCGCTTGCTCTTATTTCCCTCGCTAATGTCACTTAAGACAGTAATGCCTAGGCAAATTGTAAACATATAACCGTATTATCGAATATAAAAGTGACTTTTTCTGCTTAATGTTTGAAAATGTCACTTATTTTTGCGTTTTGTAATTTCCCTAGGCAAATTTGTCGAGTAAAACGAACGCAACACTGTAATGCCTAGGCAAATTGTAAACATATTTCGAATAAAAAAGTGACTTTTTTGTCGTAATGGTTGCAAATGTCACTCTTTTTTGAGTTTTGTAATTTCCCTAGGCAAATTTGTCAAGTAAAACGAACGCAACACTGTAATGCCTAGGCAAATTGTAATCATATTTCGAATATAAAAGTGACGTTATCGTCATAATTATTGTCACTCTTTTTTTGCGTTTTGTAATTTCCCTAGGCAATTATGTCGAGTAAAACGAACGCAAAACATCCCAGTAAAGACCTTTGATATATTTCGTCGCAAATTGTATAAATGTTTTTCTTTATGTAAGCGGTAATAATTAGTCACAAAGGTAATTGATGTGCAAATAAACATTATGAAAATGGAAATCTGTTTTATTTACGTTGTGTTCACAAATCCCTTTCCTTTTAAACCAACAGAGATAATGTTACAATTAAATAAAACAAAAACAGACTATCCTCTAAACAATAACTCTAAACTACCACAGATTTTTTGGTCAAAAATATGTTTGACCATTATCTCCAAAGTTGTTTTGTTTGGACGCTAGAGGGCACTAGAGATTGCTTATTTTACATTTATTAAAATATCTCGAAAAGGCTTTTTTTATTTATATTGCAACCAGTTTTCTATTAAACTACAGCTCTGTGAAACATACTATATGTTTACACAGTCGATGCAAATTTTTTATGTTCATCAAAACAAAACTTTGAAAAACAAACAGTCTTGGACCTAGAGTCGCGGGCGATAGCTAGTATGAAAAAATTAGCAAAAGCAACTTTGTATAGAGGTAAATTTGACCAAATAATCATATTTCCGACCAAAGAATTTGGTAGTCCATTGTACACGTGTTCACACCTGTATAATTATAATGCGTCAGATATGTGCCGGTATAAGGCTATTTCAGCCAACGGCGGATCCAGGGGGGTTCATGTCCCCCCCTGAACTGGTTGGTCAAGAGCTTGACAAAATATATTTACTTTTAGACAATTTATTTAATTGTTACTGTCGCTTTAAACTCAGAGCGACACTTCTCGGCAGGACTTAAGATGCGCGCCAAATCCATACTTCTAGTGACATTGACAGCTGTCAGCTAGGGACATGACGTTTATGCCGATAATCTAGAGTTGCGCCAATTCTACAGCACGGTACTAATTTTGTTCTTAACATTACATATTTTGTCATGCTCTTGACTTGACCACGACTCCTGGCGCCAAAACTGGATCTACCCTTGATTTCTTCGCTTGCAAGTCATAGAAAAAAAATCGTCAAGAATATCGACACTTTTTGACATTAATTGTATCACTTCAGTCGAATTTCAGGTTAAAATAAAACAATTGCTTAATTAAAAATGTTTTATTCTTAAACTAAATCAACAATCTAATATTAGATCAGATACAAACAGTTTTATGTATTTTTGCATTTCGTTTGAATGAAATTTTGTACTTGTAACAGATAATGCTTTATTATTATGTTTCATGTCACATTAATATAATATATTGAATAGTTTTTAGAGAGTTTTTTTTGAGTTTGAGTTCCTTAGTGTTGAGTGTCGAGTGTTTATTGTGTCAGAGATTACTAGAGTAGTCAACATCACTAGTGTAGTCAAAGAACTTACTAACATGGTCAACAAAACATATAAAATTGGAAGCTAGATTTTTTGTTTTTCCATTACTATTACCGATTTTGCATTAAATATAGTTTTTTCGGGAGGTTTGGAAAAATCATGATTTTAAGGGTTAAAAGGTAGCTGATGTTAGCTAGTGCAGTCAAAGAGGTCGTTGGTGTTACAGATCTCTAGAGTTGTCAGAGAAGTCATTAGCGTAGTCAAAGAAAGCTATTGTAGTCATCATCATATCAGATATCGCTAGTGTAAGCCTTGGAGTTCTTGAGTGTTGAGTGTTGTAGTTTATTGTGTCAGAGATTGCTAGTATAGTCAAAGGTCGAGTTAACTAGTGTAATTATAGCTAATGTTTCGACTGAGTTCGGTAGTGTTGAGTGTTGTAGTGTAGTGTATGAGAGTTGTGTGGTGTTCAGCGGTGTTGTGTGATGTTCAGTAGTGTTGAGTGTTGATGTGTGGTGTTCAGTGGTGTCGCTTGGCGGGCTGCGGCGAGTCGGTGTGTGGTAGTGGCTGCGGGGTGCGCGGCGCGCGAGGCGGGAGGGGCGCGCGTCGCTTGCGGCGGGGGGGAGCGGACACGAGCCCCGCGTGCGCTTGTGCAGCCACCAACATACCTAGTTGACATTGAGCCTGGAATTGTAAATAAACGGTTTATACTAATAAAAAAAGAGATTATGACTGCTACCATTGTTTTCTTTAAATTAGTTAAACCTAGCTGTACGAGGTCCATGAGACCCTGTACGTGTTTGTATGGATATTACTTAACACTTATCTTGGAGGGGTACATTTAGGAGGGGTACATTATACCTCCCACATGTGTATCGTGATGTATTGTACTACGTTTCGTCTGATGAGTGTCGGAGGCCTAATTTTAGTCCCTTTCTCTATCCATTCTTTTCTTAAGAGGAAAGGATGGGTAGGAAAAGTGGATTTGACGGTGGAGACGCGTAGGAAAGGGAAATGTCCTCTTTATGTGCGTCTCCGTCAATGAAGGGTAGGCAGCGCTGCAATTGCGGAGGTTTATGTGCAGTCGCTTTCCATTTAGGTGGATTCAGGCCGCTTGCTCGTTTGCCACCTTATGTTATAAAAAAACCCGTACGTGAACATGAACATGGGGGACATGAACCGGGGACATGAACCCCCCTGGATGTAGGGGTGCATTAGACCCCATGCTACATACCTCCTCGTGCATATGCATGGCCATGGAGTGCACGCTGTGCTCGCTGCTGTTGTACATAAGCGCGTTAGATAACATCAATAATACGTCGCGTTCAAACTCAGCTGTTGTACTGAAAAATAATAATTCAATTAGCAAATATTGAGTACGAGCTGTTGCCCGCGACTTCGTCCGCGTGGTATTAGAAAACATACGAACTATATAAATAAAAAAGAGCTACGTATCCCGGGAACCGGACAATTCTCTGGGATGAAGCTTATCCCATGTGTACTCCACACTTTGTTTTATATCTGTGACAAATTTCAATAAGATATGTTGAACCGTTGCAGAATGATCGAGTAAACATTAAAAAACTAAATTAATGAATCCCACGGGAACCATAATTATTCCCGGGATAAAAAGTAGCCTATGTGTTGTACCAGACTATGCTCTAAACCTGTGCCAAATTTCATTGAGATCCGTTCAGCAGTTTAGGCTACAAACTCTAACAAACATCCATCTAAACTTTCACATTTATAATATTAGTAAGATAGTAAGATTAAAAGGGAGGTCCATGTACTAGGGGACAGAGATTAAATATGACCATAGGGATATACTTTGACCACAAAAGTTTATTCGGACCACAAAGATTAATTTGGAATAAAAGCTTACTTGGACTAAAGATATTCATTTGGACCACATGGAATTACTCGAATCTTAGGATAGACCACAGAAGTGTATTTGGACCACAAAGATTAATTTGGAATAAAAGCTTACTTGGACAAAGATATTCATTTGGACCACATGGAATTACTCGAGTCTTAGGATAGACCACAGAAGTATATTTGGACCACAAAGATTAATTTGGAACATA